ATGATCTTCAGAAATCATTCTAATATGCTGATTTGCTGCTCAAGAAACATTTCTGATGCTTATCAGTGTTGAAAACAGTTGTGCTGCTTCATATTTTTGTGGATTCTTTGATGAATAGAAAGTTCAAGATAACAGCATTTATTTGAAATAGAAATCTTTTGTAACATTATAAATGTCTTTACTGTCACTTTTAAACAAGTAAATATATCCTTACTAAATAAGTATTATTTTCTTTCAATTTCTTACTATAAAATTTCATATATAGATGTGTGTTTATGTAATACCCTTTATTTGCCTCATAGGACTCGGAAAGTAACTACTCGGAGATCAAGAAAGGAGTGAATGTCGCTTATCTGGACATACAGTACAGCAAGTGAGTCTTTTGAATATGAAACTGAATATCATCTGTAATACAGTACAGGCAGTAATTGCAGTATAAGGCAGTGATTAATGTTGTGTCTCTTCAGAGCGGGGCTGGTGGTGTTGGCGGCAGCGTGGCATCCGGGCGACATTCCATGTGTGGCGTATTTCTGCCTGGTCACTCTTGCAGAAAGCATAGCGCCTTCACCAGACCTGCTCACTGTGGAGGTCACCAAATACAACCCGCCCTTCCAGGTACACCGTTCAATCACAGCTGAATGATCTGAGTGTTTAGACTGTGAGCTTCGTGGATTGAAATCATGAAAACTGTGATGGTGTGAACTGAATGAATTCAGCTGTGGTTTTGTCCGTCAGAGTGAGGAGGAGCTGCAGAAGATGCGTGTGGTGTTGCCCGAGCCGTCGAGTCCTGCTGCGTACCTCTATAATGAGGAGCTGGTGTTCACCTGCAGCACTGGAGCTGGACGCGGAGGACTCGCAGAGGAGAAGATCTCCTTCAGCTCTCCAGGTACAGCCCTCGGACTGGGAAATCATTGAAGTAGCTAGTCTTCTTCCTGGAGTTCATCCGAGTTGTTTTTGCCTGTTCTGCAGGTGACCGTATCCGAGGCGGTGGGGTGTGTGCCGGTCTGCCGGTGTTTTTCTCTCAGAACAGCGGGCTGGTTGCCGTTTTAGCGAAAGAAAGTGCTTCCCTCCTACCCGAGACCATGGAGGACTCGCTCTGCACCTCAGTAGCTGGACCTGAGGTCTGGACTCAGTTTACTTAAAGGAGGCATAATAATATTTTATATACTTTTTATATACATATATATATATATATATATATATATATATATAT